AATCTATTATCAAACCCTGAAATAATCAAAAATTTTGTATATAAATATCAATCTTTGCAGGTAATTTATATTACTAAAATATATATAAAGTATTTTTTATTTATTCCATTATTTATTTATTCCATTATTTATTTATTCCATTATTTATTTATTTTATGTATTATTAAATAGTTCGATGGAGAAATATTATATAGTGAACAATATTCTAAAAATTGGTGGAAAATGGTGGAAGTTTCAATTCTATCTGAGACACATATTTTATCTATTATCCTCTATTCTGATGCAACCACTACTGATTTATTAGAAAAAAGTTCATTACACCTCATTTATATATCTCTCAGAAATATTCGAACTTGGAGAAGAAATAAAGAAGATGTTAAGCAATTATTGGAATATCTCCCAATTTTATTTGCCAATGATAAAACTGAAAGACAATCTTCTAGATTTAAGCAATTAGTGTGTGAAACTTTTCACAATTCTATAAAATTCCTACTGGATCCTTTGGTTGATGAAGAAAATGATATTGATTTTAAAATTAATAACAAAAACACCTGGTTCTTTTCAAGAATTTCTACTGTAATCAGTGATTAGCTAGAAGCCTATACATTTTCATTAACTTTTAAATCAGCAAATTCAAATTATCCTTGCCATTTTTGTCTAACATATAAAGATAGTTTAATAAGTACAAGAAAAGATTCTGTAATAATTCGTAATAAAGAAAATATGCAGGAATATTATAATAATGGTTCTGCTGTTAGTGTTAGTCTGGAATAGGTTTATAATCACTTTTGGACTATTCCATAAGTTTTTTTAAAATATTTTATTTAAATTTTATGCATATCTAACTGATACTAATTTTTTTTATTTTAGAGATATAAATATTTATGCAGCCACAGTTCCTGATAGGATGCACCATTTGGATCTAGGCCTATTTCATTATCAAATAGAATATACTAAAGATTTATTAAAGTCAGGAGGAAAATCATTAGTAGACAAAATGGATCAGCGAATTGCAATGATACCAAGACACCCAGGATTAAAAATATTTTCTGGAGGATTACAATCGATAGCCCGATTGACTGCAAGTGAATATAGAGATCTTATGAAAGTGATGATATTTGCAGTAGATAATTTAGTAAATAAAGAACTTTCAGAAGTCTACGTAAAGTGGAATAAGATGTATTTAATGAGTAGATTTGAAAGTTTTAAAGAAAGTGACCTAGAAAATTTTCAGGTAATTTATTAATATTATATTAAAAATGTTTAATAATAGTGTTAACTAGTTTTTAACAATTATATAGAAAACAATTAATGATTGGGCCGATCTATTCATTAAATTATTTTGTCAGTTTTCGCCTTCTGATATGAAATTATCAAAGTTACACTCGTGGATTTATCATATTGTTGATACTATTCGAGAATTTGAAGCAATAAATGGATATACTACGGAGACATATGAAAGTTTGCACAAAACATATGTAAAAATTCCATATCGTCTTAGTAACAAAAAAGATGTGGAGAAGCAAATAATGCAAAATGTAATTAAAAAATTTAATATTTTTTAATTTTTGTAATATTTCATCCTTTTGTTATATTAATAATTTCTCTTATAGATTAGTCGAAGAGCAATAATATTGAGAAGCCAAGCAAAGGAGACTAAAACTCCAATAACCTTAACGTATACAGCAAAGTTACTTGATATTGAATTTTTAAATATTGCTGAAAAATGCGATCAATAAAAAAACAATTCAAATAATAATGAAAAAATGAAAAAAGGTTATAACGAATTTCAAAATTGCTTGGATAAGTATTTTGATATATCAAATATATCAGCTGAAGGAAGTGTGATTAAAATATTTAGTTCTGTTACATTAAAAAATGGCGCAATACTTCGAGCAACAAATAAATTTTACAACTGACTCTGGTTTAGTAATATTGCCATTGTCATGAATAATGATGAACTTTTCAAATATCAGTCAGATAGCGGAATTTGTTATGCACAGGTATTATTTTATAATAATTATAATATTATTTTATAATAACTATAAGTTAAAAATTCTATTATATTTAGACTCTATTAATAACAGAAATAAAAGTACCAAATAGACCACCATTACATCTTGCACTGGTACAATGGTATGATTACCGGTTTCAGAAAAATCTGAATTTATATGGTTGCCCTTTGTTACAATTAGTAGAATGATATAACTTTATAGAAATAGAAGCGATTGATGACATTATCCATATAATTCTCCGTTTTGATAAAACCAACGAATATTTTGTAATTTAACTGGACCAGTGAGGTCTCGACTTTATTCATTAATTATAAATCAATAAAGAAATACATGAAGAATAAAATCTGACTAAGTTATAAACTACGGCCTAACCTACCACTGTAGAAATTTAACTTTCTACTGGGAGGTTACAACCTCACCTACGTCTAAACAAGAAAGAATATTTGAAAGTATATCTATGTTATATGTATATATGTTTCTTATAGTTTTTTGTATAATATTTATTCCTATTTCTTTTAAGTGTTTTTTCTGTTCTATATATGTGTAATCTATATAGGGTCTTTTACCTTTACTTTTTTTATCTGTTTCGTTTATGTTATTTGTTTTTTCCCATTCTAAAAATTCTTTACATCTTTTTTTCCAATTATTATATAGTATTTCTTTCCATGTCTTAAAAATATTCATGACCATTTGTTTTGCCATATCAGCAGAGTTTAAGGTACTTCGTATTATTTTATATAAGGATTTGGGAATTAGGCCTCTTATTAAGTCATTGAATTCAAATCTGTCATGTGGTTGTGTACCAAATACTTGTCTGTTGTGATTAATCTTCATGAAATGTCCACGTGTTATTTTTTCCATTAAGCCTTTTAAATCTTTATTTCCTTTCTCTTTGGTATATATCTTTTTTACTGTTGCTCGGAAGGAAATTTTTAATTGTTTTCCTTTTTCTGAACACAGGAAAACATGGGTGTTGGTCTCTTTGTATTTTCCACAGAAGGGGCATTCTGGTTTAGTATATATGTCAGGTTTTCGTGTGTATAGAGTTGTCATTGTGGGTAATTCTTCATTTAATAATTTTAGTGAAAAGGATCTTAATGCACTGTCTTTTGTATCTGTTTTTGTGGACGTAATTTTAGAACTGTGCCATGATTGAATAGACCATTTCCATTTAGTTTCGTTGATAATTTTTTTATTTAGCCATTTATTTATACGATGTTGTGTGAACCATGTCGTGAGCGATTCAATTTCTTCTTTCTTTTTAACAAAAGACTTAATATCTGTATCTATACTTTCTCCTTTCCATTTGAAATGACATTGTTGTTCTCTAATGTAATTTGGATTGATTTTAAAGGTCGATCCTGAATTAGTTCCCTCTCCTGCTAACCTATCTGCTTGTTCGTTAAACATGTCACCTGTATGAGCGTCTACCTTTAGAAGTGTGAGATCCAACTTTTTTGTATATATAATTTCCTTGATAGTCTGTAAGATCAGTGGATTTTTATAGTTACTCCAATGTTTTCCTTTTTTTTTATCTGTATATCCTTTGATTGCACTGATTGAGGAGTTGCTATCTGTATATATTTGAATTTCTGTATTGTTTGGTATCACCCATAAAGTTGAGAGTATTCCCCATAATTCCGCACGCGTTGATGAAGGTGGACCTTCTATTCTTCCTTTCCAAGTGAATCTGCCTGAGTTTATATCATTAGGCATACACACTACCCCGAAACCCATTATTTGTTAATCGATGAGATAATCATTGTTATTGGTAGATTTTTTCCTATTTTTTAGCGATCCATCTGTGTATGCAATTATTTTCTTGTGTCTTTGTAACCTATTTGTGATATTTTCTAAATATTCTAATGTTTGAGGATCAGTATCTATGATACTTTTTAAGAAACTTGAATCATCAATATCTTTATTAATATTTTTATATTGGATATCTTTTGGAATATTATTGTGATATATGTTGAGTGACTTGGGAGATATGACCATTCTCATTCTTTGTCTATTGTCATTAGTATTTCCAATTGAGAATTTAGAGTTTCTAATTGGAAGCTGACTGGTTTCTGTTATATTTGCTGTAATAGAACAATAAGCAACACTCTCATTTGTATTATTTGTATCTGTTATTTGTTCTTTTAATGAGCATCCACCACATGCTGCGATAGGAGATTGTAATTGTCCATCTATTTTTTCTCGTATATAGTGTTGCATAGTGATTTTTTGATCGTGTTTTTTAGGTTCTCTAGTGATCTTTCCTATTATCGGACCTGTAGGATGGTTTATGGTTACTAGTTTACCTTTTAACTTTTCCTCTTTTCTAATTATTGTTAACCTATTAATTGGATTATTATTTTTTATTTTTTCCCTTATATCTTCCAATTTTTCTTCTATTTTACTTTTTAGTTCTATGTACCAAGTTGTATTTTTCCGTGGTATCTCATATTGATGAATTCTTTTCAACTCTAAAATGTTACTTAAATCTGCATTTAACAGTTGTTCTATATACAGGATCCCATATTTTCTTAAGCTATCTCTATGTTTATGATACCATGTTTCTGAATCCATAAATGATTCTATATCTATAATTCCCCCTTGAATCCTAACTGGAAATTCAATTTTTCCATTCGTTTGTATTTCTATATTATGTTTCGCTAGTAACTTTAGTATTTCTCCTGTTATATTTCAGTTTCGGGCTTTGAATTTACTTATTGTTTCTACTTCCCATATACTTTTTGTCGTCCACATGTAATCTTGTAATTTTTGGAGTCTGACTTTTGTAGTCCATCCGCATAAATCTGATTTGTTTAATCTGTTTATTAGTTCAGTTGAGTGTACTTGTAGTTGTCGTTTATGTATACAAAATAGTCTGTATCCTATTGTAGAGTATAGAACACTATTTGGTAGTTTAGATGCGTATCCACATGACCTTCTAAATACCATTCGTATCTTTGCGTTAATTTTTTCCAATTCTTTTTCTGGGTATATATAATCTGTTAACAAATACTCTATCTGTGGAAATAATACATGGTTTATTATGTATCTGCTTTGTTTATCTGTTAATCGTTTTCGAATCATAGTTGCCGTGGTTCTGTGGACTTTTTCTTCGATGAGTTTTTTCTGATAGGTTTTCTTTCCATTTTCCTGTAACCAGACACCTAGATATCGTACTGCTTCTGATGGTTTAGTTGGAATTATTTGATCATTTATAAAATTAATACCATTTTTATTATCTTCTTTGTTTCCATTGATAATAATTAGTTCTGACTTTGAGGCGTTGACTTTGATTTTATTTAATGCGAAGAATTCTTCAACAATCTCAAGGATCTCAATCATATTTGATTTATTGTTGGTCGTCCATACTGTGTCATCCATATATGCCATTGATGATATAAGCTTTTTTTCATATATTTGTTCTTGTAAAGTCATATCTACTTTCCATTTTAGTTCCATTTCATATCCTTTCTTTAAATCTTCGATTTCCGCTAATAATGGATCATAGAATATACACCAAAGTAATGGTGAAATTGAGTCACCTTGGTCTACTCCTTTATTTACTCTGTATATTTCTGTAAGACCATATTCTGTTAATCCCTGTGCTGTTCTATTTGTTTCGATATAATTTATTATTTTTATTATTGTTCTAGGTATTTGTATTCTTTTTAATGCTAATTTCATTAATTTGGCATCTACTGAATCGAAAGCCTTGCTGATATCTTGAAATAGCATCCATAGTTCTTTTTTTTCTTCACGTGCATCTTCCATCATATTGTTTATGATATGTATAGGATGTGCTGTACGACCTCCAGGTAGGCCAGCGTGATTGTTTCCTGTCAAAATATTATGTTCGATTAAGATCTCTGAGAGTCTAATTGTGATGATCTTTGTAAAGATTTTCCTTGCTGTTTCCATTAGGGTTATAGGTCTTGTGATTTCTAAATTTCCCTCCCATTCTTTCGGTTTTGGTATTAATGTGACGTTACTGTGAATCCAATCTTTAGGTACTTGACCAGTATTCATAATATTATTAAATAATATACTCATCATTTCTAGTCCATGTTCATCTAGGTGTTTAAA